TTCTCATCTATATCAATTTGGCGAAATGCATTACATATTTCGAACTTACGAAAGGTGGTATTCTAACTAGTTTAAAGCTTTAGGATCCAGCTTATTTTCTTACTATCTTCAGATGCGCATCTATGTCTACTAATTTGTAGGTATGCTTTACGTATTTCGAACTCACGAAAAGTGATATTCTGACTGGTTCGAAAGAGTATGATTCAGCTTACTTCCGTACTATCTCCAGATATCTCTATATATACATCTATACCAATTTAATGAAATGCATTACGTATTTCGAATTCACGAAAAGTAACATTCCAACTCGTTCAGAGCTTTAGGATAAAGCCTACTTTATTAGTTCAAAATTATCAGCTTAACTTCCTACTATCTATTAATATACTATAATATATTAATTATATGCTATCTTACCATCTGTTCATCTATAATAGGATGAATATCTATCAATTTAATATTCATCCGAAGGTACAAAGTACAATCAAGGTACAATTTAAATAGGTTAAGCTCTTTTTAATAACAAAAATTAGTTCAAATCTGTACTTCCAGCTTGTCTTCGTACTTATTCTTGATTGCTATCTATCCAATAGAATGAATATCTATCCAATATATCTTCTTAATATCCATCCGAAAGTTTTTTCGAAAAGCAACATACAATTTATGTAGGTTGAGATCATCAAAAATAATTACTAGTACAAAACTGTATGTCCAGTTTATCTTCTTATTATCACTTGATTCCCATCTATCAATTTGTATGGATACCTATTCAATATATCAATCTAATATATCTATCCAATATCCATCCAACAGATTTGCTTGAAAAGCAACGTGCAACTAAAGTAGGTTGAGTTCATCAACAACAAATAACCGATGTAGCAATAGCAGAATGGAACTAGAAACTCATCTAAGTTGCGTATGTTAGTTCCATAGACAGTACGGCACAGTATGTTCCACTTAGTACTTACATCTTCTATGACTTCTGAATGCTTTCATACAAAGACACTGTATGTGTCTTGGCTGTATGCGATAGATTTATGTTTATCAAACTGTTTCTTTTGTGATTATTCTATATATATTTCCGTATAATAAATAATAAATAAATAATGAATTATTAAATATAATAATTCCGTAATAATATTTAATACTGTTCATGTTTGAAATAAATAATTCGCTTAAAATTAAAGGTTTGTGATAGGATTAATGTCTGCATTTTGAAATTGGGATACGCTTTCATTTTTAATTGCATTTATTACTTCTGAGAATTTCAGTGCATATTCCTAATCGCTTTACTTAAAAATTATATAAAGTTCAGTAAATGCACAGGAAAGCATTTGGTGGCATACGTGAGAACTTTAATTTATATCGATCAAGATAAGCTCTTTCATGGCCTGGAAACTATGCTGAACTGTAATTTAATTCATTAGCGGTACATATTTGACTCAGATCGTTAATTTATTAAAATTTTTATTTTTCATTATTAAGTGGCATTTTGTAATAGTTGCCATTGTAGTAGTAGTAGTAGTTGTTGTTGTCGTTGTTGTTGTTGTAAAGTAATAAATCGCAAATGGCAAATAATTGTCGCTTACGATTCTCTTAAAGGGATTACGTACGTGTTGTTGGCCCATGGTCAGGCCATGGTCGTACCATACTCATTCACAGCTGTTGTTCTTAGTTGATTTTAATGTAGGAATTTATGCATTTTTAGTTTTTGACAAATTGCACGTCAAATTGAAAGGACTCCGTCACGACATTTCATGCAAATACTACAATTACAACAACTGCAACAAAATGCTACTTAATAATTTTAATCATTTAAATTTTCGTAAAACGTTTTATGGCAGCAGCAACAACAGCAGCAACAACAGCAGTAGCACTAGCAGTAGCAACAGTAGTAGCAATAACAATAAAACTGGCCTCAAATAATTAGGCAACACACCTGTCTTAATTCAGATCATTTCTCAAGGCGCTTTTTCTGCCTTGCATATAAGATGCATTTCATCACTGCACAAAACTTAAAACTGCACTTACATTGTATCTGCATCTGTAGCTGTATCTGTATCTATAACTGTAACTGCAGTTATTATTATGCCTGGAAGTGTATCTGTAAGTGCGCTTGCATTTTTTTTTTGTTGCATTTTTTTACAGCGCCGCATTTTTACAACTGCAAATAATAATAAAAATAAAAAAAAATTATTAATTGTTTGCATTTTAGGTTTTAATTGCAATTTTTCGAAGAATGTAAACAGCATGAAACAAAATTGTTAAAATTGTTAAAATTGTTAAAATGACAAACAATGACGTTTAATTGAGCGTAACCAACAAATTTCGAAGTTGTCGTTATTGTTTTATGTCGCTGATGTTGGTGTCATTACGAGTATTCCAGTGTTGTTATCGAGTCTACTTTTAATAAAAGGGTTCCCCTAAACGTTATTGCTGTTAATGTTGACGTTGTTGCTTTTGTTTTTAACCAACTTAAAGTCTTAAACAGAAAACTTATCACTCACATACATACATACATGCATACGTACATACATACATACGCATGCACTCATTTCTCGCAAAGTATCTGCTGAATGCAATTTTAACAGCTTAGCATGTTCTTAGCAAATGCAAGGCGGTAGCTTCATTGTCATTGCCGCTGCTACTGTTATTGCTATTGCTGTTGTTACTGTTGTTGCTCTTATTGACATTGTTGCTGTTGGTGTCGTTGTCGTTGTCGTGGTCGTTGTTGTAACATCGAAATTTAATACTTGGCCTAATAAAAGCACTAATTGCGGTTAAATGCGTTTTGCATGCAGTAATTGCCGTTAGGGGTGCTGCATTTGTATTAATTGCTTTTGGCCAAGTTTCACTGCACAGTTGGTTTTTACGTTATTTTTTTTAAGGCAAACAACTGCTATATAAAGAGTTATTAACTCATTCACTTCATAAAGTGAATAAACATTTCATTAGGTCTATAATTTTAAATCATTCAAAATATTGTTGAGTGAATTGCAATAGGCACATAAGCAAATTTATAGTTTAATATATAAGTTGTGCTATTATGTACGTATAGCTAAATTTATTAAAAAATCTTGGTTAATGCCTGACTTAATTATTTAAAACAGTTTACTTACTTTCCTTTGTTAATGTAGTTAAAGTTATGCCATAAGTCTCATTGTGGCGTATCTAGGGGACGAATAGGAGATAGATCCTTGCCCTTGACAGAGGGCGTTTTTTACTATAGACCCTTAACAGTATCATTTGCATACACTGTTCAAAAAATATTTTCTAGTACATCTCTACCAATGCAAAACGCGGTATAGTCATTACCTCTTTGTATGATATCACATCATATAGAATACATTGTATGATGGTGCAGCCATCACCATTATAATCTAATGCCAAACAAAAACTGTAGTCAACAGTCCATCAGTTAATGTCAATAATAAAGTTTTTACGTTTTGTTTTATGTAATAAATAAATAAAGATAATAATAAAATATTTGTAGAGATTTTTATAGAAAAGGAAGTCTTACTAAATGAACTTTTCATTCATTTTAATATAAGATATGACTTTTTATTAACATACCTATATGGGTAAAAGAATGGAAAGATATTTTATAATATATCTACTCAACAGTTCATAATAACTCCCAGAATCATAGACATCATCGACAAACGCTGCATATAATTATTATTAGATAATAGGCTATGAATGCACCCCGACCTAAAAGATCTATTGTGTGCCTAAAGGCACACCTTAAAATCTTTTAAGTATCAACTATCCTTTTCAATTTTATTTTACGGTTAGTTGAAATGATTTTATGGTAATTTTTGGTATTTTCCGATATCGCCACCATATTTGGGGAACCAGCACGTTCGGCATTACCGGGCAGGTTAAAAGTTATCACTCCACTTCAGCACATCTGTACCATTTGTCTCGATGGAATAGAGTCCGGATTTTACTTAACAAGAAAAGCTTTTGCTGTCGTTTAAATGTCATGAACTAGATACAATTCAAAAACTGTCTGCCATCCTATGGACCTATCAGTCAAGGTGTTATAGAGTAATCCATCCAATTCATTTAGCTCCAGCTGAAGAAGGTCGATTAACTTTAACAGTGATATGGTTATCGTTATTCAGTAGCATGTTCAGGAAAACATAAAAGTAAAACCTTTCTCTCTGCTGAATAAAACAAATGATAGGAATATTTATTCTACTGTTCCTGTAACCATTATCCTTGTTAAATTTTAATAGCGACATCCTAATCGCAGTTAGTCTTATATGAAACATGTTTAATGTAAATACAAAAACATAGAAATCCTGTATTTAGTTATTGATATTCTGACCAGCGAACGATCCAGAAGTTGCAATGGAGGTTGAGATGGAATCTATTAAACACTTTCTAAGCTACTGTCCAACGAAACAGTCGAATAATAGCCTAATAGAGATATTGTATATAGACTAATTGTATCTTCTTAATATCTTCTGATGGATATATCAGATATATTCTTCTCGGATATATTTGAATTCTACCCTTAGCCAGCAATATGATCAATACCAAGCACTTCAACGAGCTTAAATTAACTGACCATAGAGGGCACTAAACGTTTACAATTAAATGTGAAACGTTATAATATATAAGTGTTTTACTCCAAATTTTATAAATAATAAAAATAAACAAAATATTTGTTTTAAATATTTAATTCTATATTTGAGCTGTTTTTAATACAATTATACTATTTTACATTAAAATAAACGATTTATTATATAAATTACACAAAACACATTAAAAGTACTTAAAACCAATTATTTTTATATACAATTAGGTACCTAAAATGTGTTCAAAACTTTATTTATTTAAAACATAATTAAAATATAATTATTAATTTATAATCAATATATTGTATGAAATTTAAGATTTAAATACTAATGGTAAATATTTATGCACATAAAAAAACAAAAGACATTAATTTAAAATTAACAAATTAACAAGAAAATAAATTAATACAAAAGCTAAATACACACACATTTCATTAACGCTTAATTATTAAGTTTAATTATTGAGTATTTATAACATTGTCCACTCTGTTTTCCGAACCAGATTAACACTATTAACCCATTTAGACTTGTATGTGATCTTCTTCATCAGATTGTGCCTGTGAACTATCAACTGAACGACCTGGTGGACTACCTGGATTCAAGGTAGGACTTGGTGAGCGTGTTATATGCGGCGAATGGTCGCCTGTCGGTAGAGGTAACGGAGGTGAGACAATAGGTTTTAAAACACCAATACTTGGTGGTATTGGAGTGCCTCCAGCTGTAGCCGCATTCTGATAATAACTACTCAAAGACGAAAGCGAACTGGAAGCAGATAGATGCGAAAATGGTGTAGTTGCTGGTACAGGTAAACCGGCTAAAGGACCCACGCTTGGTACACTTGCGTACAAATTGTATGGTAAAGGTTTCTGCATAGCAGCAGCAGCTGCTGCTTGTCTGTAATATAGATCGATGGTGGATGGTGGTGGACCACCGTGTGGTGGCTGTGCACCAGGGTATGGCCAAGCACCAAGATAGGGCGAACCACCATAAAGTCGTTGAAATGCAGCAAAATTTCCTGCCTCCGCCAAAAGTTCCAGGCCAACAGCAGTTTGTCGCTTCCATTTTGTTCTGAAATGAGATAACAACAATGTGTGGATTAATTAAGATTAAAACAACAAAAACATTTAAAAGTTAAATATATAATGGAATTTCAAAGCAAAACGAACATGAGAGAGTTAAAACTACGGCCGTAATGTCTTTTTCCGCTACGCATTCATGGAATGAACGGCATTTGAAATCATTTACTTGGAAGTGCGTTTAAACGCATTCACCGGCTTTGCAGTTTTCTTGTTGCAATGCATGCAGTTTTCATACTCTAAGTAGAAAAAAAATTACAAAATGGTTTTATTATTGCAGTCACTTAGCAGCGGTGGAAACGCGATCTGTGCGTGTTGCAGTTGCACTTAAACTTGCATTAAATTCTGTGAAATTACCGCATATGCGTCGCTCTGTATGAGCTACTAAGTGGCTTGATGTGGCTACTGCCAGCTAATTTATGTACCTCGACTAGACTGGGTACAAGTCGGTGATGTCCATTGCTAAGCCTTTACCTTATATTGCCCACCCCGTAGCTATGTTTCGTTGTAATTTTTTATTGTAGTTGTCATGAACTTAAATTTATGAGCTTAACTCTGGTGATATTGCTAGTCATTGCAGTCAACAGCATCGTCAAATTCTTTTAATTAAAGATTATTAGTATCTTGTTGCAATGCAAATTTATGCTATTTTACTGCATAATTTTATAATTCTTTTATTGCAATAAATGATTCTTAAATATATATTGCAATTTAAAATTGCTTTATGCTTTCTAAGAATATTTAAATATGTTGTTAATATGTCTAATAAGTGTTATACAATCTTATCTATGGTTCTCATTATCCATATTTAAAGTTTCTAATAATTTGACAATTTTTTAAATTGTACTATAAATTATTTTAACTTAATTACATATGAATAAGTACATATATAATTTTATTAAGTACACAATTTTTTTTGAAACCTCTACAAATGAAATGCAGGCAAATATTGAAGTAGTAAATATACCAAATATAAAAAATCGTTTAATGAAATATATAGCACTAAATCGGGAATTATGTTAACTAATTTAACTAACTGAGTTTTTGAGAGATTCTCATCATTTAAAAGTTGAATTTTTTGTTATCTATCTGTATATCTTAAGACTTCAGGACCGTCATCTAACAACTTAAACGATATGCTAACGTCATTATGATATAGCTATAGTTACTTTTCTCATAAAGAGCAAAGGGTATTATCCACATATTAATAGCTTAATTGTAATTTAAGATCATATTATTAAAAACTTTTTATACATTTCTCTATATTATTAAGATTATAATTAAATATTAATGGCTATTAACTATTGATAATGAAGAGTACATTAATTTCATCTTTAATAATAGAATTAACATTTATAGATGAGGTAAGTTTTTTTTATCACCTTGTCAACTCACTTTATGACTTCTATTGTTTATTTTTTCATACAATATTTATCTTAATAAGTTTTTTATAGCCATTAACGTAACAAAGTTTATTTTATTATAAAATAATAAGCCTATAAATAGAGATAATATTAACACAAGGCTGACACTCTGCTCGTTGACATATATTTCTCACATATTGGGGTCCTATTTGCAACAGCTAAGCTGGACAGAAATGTCTGAACTTTGCCAAGTAAGATTGAGCAGAAGAACCTTACAGGTCATTGCGTAATAGAAAGACATGCTATAAAAGTGGGTCTACTTTATAATGACTTCTGTCGACATTGTGGCTTTGAGTGTGAGGAGGAAGCAGTGCTCCGCTTCATGTGTCAATGTCAATTCTTAGCTATAAGATTAATCTGCATCCTATATTAAAGACTTAGTCAAGTTTATAGAACTGTCAAAACTATTTGCAGTATCGAAAAAAAGCTGAAACAAGAATATTAAATTTAAGGATGAATTAGTTGTGCCGTAAGCTATCACTTGACACGTTTTAACTTATGTGAAACAAGGGTTTATTGGTGCCAAAGTATCAATTAGAGGGAGCTTATGAACCTGTTGAATACCTGTGATATTTTCAACTTATGAACTTGAGGAATATGTTTGATATGTTTATGTGAACTTATAAACATTTGTTTGTGTACATGTAAACATGACTTTAGGTCATATAATAATAAGTTCCTAATGTCAATATGGTAGCATCTAGATTACTTCAGACAAATGTGTTGTCTGAACCGATAAAATTCAAAATTTTAGCACAATTTGTGGAATGCGAATAGTAAATCTTTTAATATATAAAATAAGATATGTGTTTTTCAATTTATATATTAATAAAATTGATATACCTACTATATACCTACTACTTGCAATAATTGTTTAACGCTGTATATTGTTTAAGATTTATTCATAAAAGACAAATATATCTTATAAATCACTTTGAGTATCAATATGTTTTATATTGCGAACATATGTAAGAGTCAATTAGCGATTAAAATGATCCAAATATCAGTGTATTTTCTCCCAACTTTTTTTCTCCTTGGCTACTGTTTCAGTAAAGGATTTCTAAGAATGAGAATCTTCCTAATATCGCATGACCGTCATCTACCGCTTCTTTCGTTTCCTCATCGTCTCCACTACTTCAACTAATTGACAAATAGTTTTTTGGGTGTTTCATTGCTGAGTTTTATTATGATTTTTGTTACTTCTACAAGGGCGTTTTGTGTTTTTGATTTAAATTTTGAAAGAATAAAGTAGCATTGCATTGAAAGCATAATTATGCATTTCTCAGGCAAACGTTTTTCTAACAAAATTTGCCGATTGCTGTTATTAAGTAGAAAGCTGTCGTTAATTTATGGCTTCATTAAACATTTAGTCTTTTCAATTTCGTTTTGGCTCGAACCTTTTTAGTAATTGTGCTTTTGCTTAAAATTATGCAAATTCCCCTAAATATGAAAAGAGATTTCAGTTAACATTTACGACTTCATTTGTGGAGCAGTTCCATTGCTGAGGGCATTGCGTGCCTCACACAAATCTATTCTGGCTAACAAACAAAACTGCAACACTAAAATTAAGGCGAAAAGGGCGAACGGACAAATATACAAAACAACAACAAATATAATTGCTGAAAAATGTAGAGCAGCGGTCGAGCAATGCCCAAAATTGCCACGCCACAAATGAAACAAAGACACACTTTCAATCCATGAATTCAGTCATTTTTCACTACATTTTAAGATATTTTTTCAGTAATTTTCGGATTGCTTGAGACTCGAGGCGTCAAACACGAAATTCGCACTTAAAAATTCTCTTTTTGCTTGTTAATGTCCCGCTGTTGCTTGTTATGTTTGTTTGAAGTTTTGATTTTGCTTACCTTCGATTTTGATACCAAGTCTTCACTTGACAATCGCTCAAATCCAATTTGTGTGCCAGCTCTTGCCTTTCTTGCACGCTCAGATACTTTTGCCTTTCGAATGATTTCTCAAGAGTCTGCAGCTGATGATCGGTAAAGGCGGTGCGTGCTTTGCGTTGCTTTTTGCTAAGTCCGCTCATGTCATTGGTGGAGCCACTTTTTATGCTATTGCCATCATCATCTTTGCCACCTATAAGAGACGAAGAGAAAAAGAGTTGAAACACATTTTAGAGTGTGTATGATAACGTTTAGCAGATTTGTTTTTTGCGTTTATGGATATGAGATACTTTGTGTCGTGTAGATTTAGGTATATTTGCAAAATAATTGAGTAAAAAAATGTAAATTAAGCAACAAATTGAGTAGTAGTGGTAATTATGATATATGTGTTTAATGGAATTCATATTAATAACTAGAAATACATATATACATTACATATGAGTTGATTGTGTAAGGTCATAAGTAACTATAAGGCCAGCTAATTTTATGATTTGATTGCAAATTTCAAACAATATACAATGTCTTTGCTGTAATTAATAATCTAAATTAGAAAGTATTTATAATTACAAGAGAAGGATGCTCTAAATATTTCTATTACACCACTGATGTATACTTAATCATAATATAATAATATTACACTACATATTTTAATAATCTGAATATGTACGGTACTCATGTACATAGATGATCGTTTTCTCATCAATAAATTATTAGCATTTTATTCTAAAAACAGATGTTAAGACTTTATGTGTCCTTTTCCAAGTGTAAATTTTTATTATTTAATTCTACAAAAAAATATCAGCACTTATATTAACTTATATTAATAACCCTCAGATGTCACAGATTTTATTTTATATAGTTTATATCAACTATGTAACCAACAGTGACCAAAAACAGATTAATATCACCCACTGACCACTAAATAAGATATTAAATGTTACTACACAAGCAATATCTTTTCTCATAAACTTAATTATAGGTGATGTTTTTTCAAAACGTATTATATATCAGAGTATACAAAAATTAGGATTTGACCTGTACGATTTCTCACATTAAATTTATGTAGTTCTAGTTTTAAATAGATACTTAATATTTCCTTGAATACCCTGTAATGGGTATTGTATTAGAACCCGCGTTTTGAAGTACAATACTAAAGTCTCATCGTATCAAAAAGCCTAGCAGTTGAAAAACAGAAAGTATAATCACGAAATAATTTATTTTCATATAATCCACAAAAAAGTTCCTTTAACTAATGCAAAATAGTACCTAACACAGTTAAACTGCTATGAGAAAAAAATTTCCTAAAATATTTTAGATTTTAATTAAGACAGGACCCTCGTAGTATTATTATTATTATTGATATACAATGTGGTACTGCCTCTTCTGGGTTTAGAGTAAGTCTCTAAGCCCGGTTGCGTCAATTAAAAGTAGTATAAAACCTACTTTACAGAGTTTTATTGCTTCTTCCGTAAAGGTATACATTCCCAGGAATCTATTACGTATGTCCATATTCTCACAGTAATATCGAAAAATTTTTGAAAACGCTTGCCGTAAAATAGAATTATACCAAATTAGACAAACTTCGATTAAAAAATCTTTTGGATCGACCACTGCGACCTAAAAGATCTATTCGGCCCAGTTCATATGTTAAAAGAACTTGAAACTGTTGAGATCTAAATATCTTATAAGATTTATAGCAGTTCACTAAAGTATACTATATTATACTATATGATGCTTAATTAGTCTGCATCTTCACTTCCAGCCAAATATTATAAATGTACGTTTTATATATTAATGTATATATTTTATATATATATTATATTATAACAATTATTCTTTCTATATCAATCATATCACTTATAGCCACTAATAAGAATCTTATATTAACTTATATCTATCTTAATCCTTGTATGTGCACTTTATAATCAGTGTTCTTCATAAATCAGTTATATCACTTATGGGCACTAATAAGAATATATCTATCTCAATTCCCTTATCAGCACTTCAAAGCCAGGGTTATTCATATATCAGTTATATCACTTATAATTATTAATTAGAATATTATAACCTTAAATTAAAACTATAGATAAACTGTTATGCACTATAAAGAATATTAACATTGGTATCCGAAAAACTATAAAGTCAAGAGGTTATACCTTTTCAAGATATTATTACAAACTAAGAACATATAAAAAACGATTTTTATCTGTTTTTGTAAACCAAACCCTATTTTGCTATTTGAATCAACAGTAAGTCATATTCCATCAAAAACATTACATTAGTCTTCAGTGTTCAGGTACTCCAGTATTCTAGGTACTACAACCTTAAATTCGTTTTGAAAAAATTTGAATAAAAATCTTGTTAATCTTTATCGTACTTTTCCAATTTTTAAGTTCTTACAGCAGTAATTATACCGAATTTTATCGAGATTAATATTCAGATAATCTTATAAGAACGGGATCAAACATAGAATTCTGTGTACTTAAGCTTTTTCAATAAAGTAGTTAGTTTACAACTAATTCTATAACCGTGAATTTGATACCAACCAAAAGATTTCGGCACTCAAGTGACACTCTAGGTTACGATAAGTCTAATTACAATGAAGTTCAGGTTGCTGGCATGTTACTGCACGGGTTTTTGTTGAACTTCGTTACTATATCAATCAGACGGATCTACTGAAGTTAACGGAGCGTTATCTAGTTCTAGCAGTAGATGAGACTTCTGGTCATATTTTTTGTGACTGTCTAATTTTAAAATAGATCTGGAATTGAATATTAAATTGTGGACACTATACCTACATGATACTAGATAACCTTTAACGAGAGATATTCTTTTGTTAAATAGAATTCAATTTTTTTGTTTAGTTAGGCTTAGTTCCCAGCATAAAAACTTTACTATGATGGATGTGTTTCGTTCCTTTGAAAGCCTAAACGCATAGGAACTTTTTAATTCAATTTTATTATAACTATTGTAAATTATAGAGTTATAACAATAAATAGCAATGGTCTTACAACAAAATGAGGAGTATATTCAAATACAATAAGAGTATTAAACTTAATTTTAAGCTTGTAAGTTATTTATTAAAAATAATTTAACTTATCTTATGATTCCTTTTAGGCTCATGAACTTAAATGCACCTCTAGCATATTTACAGATGAATTTTGTATTAAAAACGACACATACTACTATATTTTTAATAGTTAATAATAATTAAGTGCCATAGTATAAATATAGCATTATTATATATACATAATAATATTTTAAAGGTAATGGCACTACAAACCCACTTAAAGTTTCTATATAATTTTGTTATTTAAAACAATTTTGCTCACCTAAAAGCAAGTAATCTTCCTACAACTATAATAACTATTTTCCTAAAATATTTTAGTTACAAATTTAAATCACAAAAATAAACTACTGAAAATTCTAACCTGGCAATTATGGGAATTTTAGCCACTTTACAGTTACAATAAACCGAAAACAGGGGCAATCGCTTAAGAAAGCTAAAGAAACTAAAAAAGGTAGGAAAAAGTGGAAAAATGTAGCATTTTTGAACGTTTATTACCACGCAATTGCAACTTCCGGCTTTCGAAGTGGCTTTTGTGGTTTGTTGGTGGCGTTGCACCAGTTTCGGGACTTCAGCTTAAATGCAGTTTTATGTTTTTGCATTTTCCTGCCCGATTGTCGACTGTTGACTCGACGGCTGATTGCCAGCTTTTGTTTACATAGCCTCAGGCGCATTCAGAAAAACACACAAACAACAAAATGCATGAGCAAACAAATAACAAAATTTTCCGCTTTTCATTAAGAAAATTTTGAGAAAAACATTTCAGTCGAAGTGTCGGCTAAGCCCTCACCTCAGCGTTACTGCCGACATTTTAACTGCAATTCAAGTGAAATGCTTTAGTTTCGCTGCTTGTTCTTATTGAAATTTTCATTCTGTATTTATTTATGTTAATTCATATGTTGATGATTATGTAGATAATAACAAACAACAACTATAACCACAACAACTACAACTAAAGTACAACAAAATCTGTCTGATAAGAATGCGAAGAAAAATGTGGTTAAGGCAGAGGAGAGTCGTAAATCGTTGAAAATCGTTTAGGAGTCAAGCGAAATTGCTGTGCCGACATTCATTAAAGCGAAAATAATCGTCACTTCCGCTTAAAAGCGGAACGTTTTCTAAACTCAGGGAAATTACCTCTGCCATAAAAGCTTTTCAGCAGAAATTTGAAATAGCAACGGCTGAAGAGGGTTTAGATAGTTGGGTGTCACATTTCTAAAGCATTTAGAAACTATTTTTCTGTCTTCGCGGGAAATTGCTGTAATAAATTTTAGTTTTTGTACTAAAAGCAGTTAAACAAAACAAATAAAATTATAAATTTTAAACAACAAGTAAGTCAGTTACTTACTCATAGACCTAGAATAGCAAACGTAACTATACTATTATAATTGATGACGGATATGGATTTTTGCCAACAACAGTGTATTTTAGTAAGACGATGAGGATTATAACGTATACTATATAATACAATATGTCAATATTCGATATATTTGTTGTTAAGGTCCTCTATTTCAGACTTACATACTATCCCAGAAATTCACATCTTCTGTAGGATCAAATTAAATATTTGACAAAATATTTTTTATAGTAATACTAAATTGAATAATCAATGAATAAAAATTATCTTTTTTTATCTTGCATATGGTAAAATATATCTTCAATCCCTCTTTTCTTTCAACATCTGAAATAGTGGTTCCCAAGGACCACTATGATATTTATGTTTTTAGTAGGGACCATAAAGTTTAAGAATAATAAACTGTATATGATTACATGATTATTTTAATATGCTTTATGCATGTCTAGTATAATATAAAGTGAATTGTCTAACTGTAGGTATAGGTAAATTAAATAGACTAACATATAAAATATGTATATAATTATTTAGAAATTTTGTGTGGGTATTTTCTAAAAAGTGAACTATCAGTGAACAAACTATAAGCTATGTATTCATACCTATTAAATTTGATTCACGGACCATTTTTACACATCTCGTGGACTACCTGTGGTCCATGTACCATCAGTTGGGAACCACTGATCTAAAATGTCTAATGATCAATAACTTAAGTCCACGAGGTCTTAAAATATTTGATAAAAGTATAAATATTTTCGATCATAGAAACCTATAC